GTGTGTGTGTGTGTGTGTGTGTGTGTGTGTGTGTGTGTAGAGCCTATTGTGCGCGCGCCTCCCTGACGCTCAGCCCATAGAGCTTGTTGTTCAGAGCAGCCGGAGAATCAGACCAAAGAGAAAGTGAGACTTTTGTGTTTGTCTCGCCTCAGTTCCCATTTTTTGCTGTGAAACCGTTCAGTTTTGGGACAGTTGGGTTCCCTGTCTGGACGCGCAGACCTGGTTATGGATTTACCACTGACGAGACGAGACATGCCGTCTAGCCATCTACCAAAGTTTTGATTCATGTCATCGTTGATTCTCGCCTCCTCCCGAGGACAGAGCTGAACTTTTGTCGCAGCTTTTCCGTTTTATTTTTTTTATTCTTTTTGCGGCACCCGGAGGAGGAAGTCGAGTGAGGAACAACTGGAGACGAACATCTCGCTGATTTCTTTCCTTCCACGTCTCTCATGGGGTAGGTCGTTTTGTAGCAGCTGTGCGATTTATTCTAACATGTGCTGCAGCAGCCGAACAAAAGGATCTCCGCTGCGCTTCACGTCCTTATGCAACAAAACCTGCCTGCCTAAAAAAAAAAAAAAAGTTTTATCTCTAACTTCTCAGAATTTTTTTTTTTATCTCTCAGTAGTGAACGAGCAACAGGAAAGTCCACAATCGAGATGTTAAAAATTCTCCAAAAGTGCACAGTGACTCGCTCAGGCAGGCACCAAAACTCCCACATTTTCGGGACTGGGCTGCACTTTTAGCCCCCCAGAACGCAGGAGAAAACGTCGCTGCTGCGGTTAATAATTGCGCGTAATTCTTAATCCTGGTGCGCCTTTATGCACGCCACGGTGCCATGTTAATTATCAACACACTGGGCAATAAGTGTCCATCATGCAGGGCGGGGGGAGGGGGGCTGCTGCTGCATCATTTCTAGACAGTAAACTATAGTTTTTGTTAGGGTGTTGGACCCCCCCCCCCCCCCACACACACACACACACACACACGATCCCAGATCCTTGGAGCCGTTGCGCAGCCTGCTGTGCCACCCCCGCCACTTTCCACCCAGCTCTGACCCCTCCGATGTGTTGTTGGGGCTTGTTCATCCGTCACTCTAAAGAAGGCATTGTACTGAAAGGATGTATTAATAAGACAATAGGCTCCATTATCCCCCTGTGTACAGGAGTTAATCTCATGAGGCACCTCAACGCTCCTCCTGTTCTGTTAACAGAACAGCTCGTTACAGTTTGCACATATGTTTTTTTTTTATTATAATGCAGTGAGTTTTATTCTGTTCACATGATTTGCCCCAATAAGTGTTTTTCCTTATAACATCTTCCAGTTTGTCTATAGAGAAGGAAGCGCAGGTGTCAGTTCTCCAGAAGCTGTCCTGGGAGAATCCTCAAGTCACGGTGTGATAAGATGATAAGTTAGTGGAACTCCAGTCTATTGCTGAGATAAATGCCCCCATCCGTCATCCTCTGTCATGTGCTCGGCCCAACTCTCTGCTTGGTGTGGTGTTCATTAACAGACTGTCTGAAACTGCCCAGGCTTGTGTTATCTCAATTCCCAGCTGTGGTAACAAGAAAAAAAAAACTGCAGATGTTTATAAACCTTGATGAATTAAAACTAGTAAACAACTTACTGCGATAACATCAAGAAATGGGGGTTAGGCGGAAGCGTAGAGTTTGGATAAGACTATCATGCGTTGAAGGGCCTGTCAACAGATCCATTGATGCTTGTGCTGTGCAAAGGGAAACATACTTCAGTCACTCCATGGACACAGGCTTTTCCTCCAGTAAGACCAGTTGGAGATACGATGTGGGCCACCAGTGCTTTAGGTTTGCATGCAACCAGAACGACACCTGCCACCTGAGCAGGCCGACTTCTGTCAGGCTTGTTCACCTCCCCCCATCACCATCTCCTGCCTTGGTGCAAACCATCAGGGTGCTGTGACCACAGACTTAAAGCAGACTTAAAGCTCTTCTTTAAGAAACACTAATGCCTTAAAAGTGCAGAAATATTGACCTAGACCACCAACCCATTACCTCATAAGTTCAGTGTTTGTTTGCTGCTGGCCCAGCTCACAGCCCACTCTCCGCTGCTGTAACTTGAACCTCCTYAATGGGGACTGCAATGGGGTAGCGTGAGAAATGAAGACAAACAGATGAGCTGGATAAATAAATAGACTTGTAAGTGCATGGAGGGCTAAATAAATTATTGGCATTTCAGTGGTGGGAACTATATCTGTGGGACTTTTAAAAATAAAATCTTGGATCACTGTGGGGGGATGAAGGCAGGAACGAGTGATGGGTGGGTGTTGGCGGTCCCTGAGGTTCACGTTTCAGCTCAGGCCTGAGAGCGGCCCGTTTATAGGAAGCAGTTTCCTTGGGGAGACCAGCTTCTCTTTTGTTGTCTGTGCTTACTACTTTATGGAGTCTGATCAGAGGAGTCTGCAGCCGTAGGCACCTTGTCTGTACCTGTTCAAATGAAACTAGTAAAAGGTCAATACATTTAGACATACAGGTTAGAAGCAACGAAAGATAACATGAGAGCAAACCTATGTTTTTAGATTATTTTATGGGGGATGGGGGTCAGTCTTTGATTTTAATAGTAATCTACTATCTGGGTTTTATTTGTTCAGAGACCTTGCGTGGTACTCTGCAGAAAAACACTTTTCTTGGGTGCGGCAGCTGGAGCAAAATAAACGCCTTCTGTTCGCAAGCTGCTGAAATGCAAGTCACAACACACAGCTGACAGCATGTAGCATTCTGAATCACAGCCAGGAGCTGGGAGTGTCTCAAATCAAAGGAATAAATATGGCCAACTTTGCTTTCTTTCTGCCCCATTTCGTAAACAGCACAGGAAAAAAAAAACAAAAGGATGCACTCTCTTAGACCTGGCAGGTAGACGGAATAGAAATGCACTACCATTTCTTTCCTTCTGTCTTTTCTTTTTAAAACCACCTTTCCGKGTTGTAAAGGTTCAGCTCTGATTATTGCATAAACATTTACATAAACTGATATTTGATGAGGGGGGAAAGTGCCTTTAGCTATTTTAAGAAGGTGTTTTATAGCGTGAAACAACCCATTAGCGTTTAAGTCTTAGCTTACATTCCTTTTCCACTTGAAGCCCTTGGACAAACCATGAGACCCCCCATGACCAGGCATTGATGCTTGTAGCAGCATGCCAGGATTTCCTAACGCATTTTAGCGTGAGGATAACACCAGCCTCCTCCTCCTCACATTTCAGGCTTGAATTAGCATAACTTCCAAAAGGCTGCCAAGTAGAAGCATATGTATGTGTTTAAAAAAGTTTAATTTGACTGACATTTTTTGTGTGTATAACATCATTATACAACTTGGAGAGACAAGGAAAAGTAGATTGAATACAGGGTTTCTGGTTTCTACTGCGGCTTTGGATGTGATCTGTGGTACTTTGCAACCACTGTTTAGGTTGTGCAGTGATTTATAATCTGGATGGGAGCGACTTCAAACTGTCTGCTCGAGCACAAGGCTTAATCAGTGCGGTCGTGTTGCGGCTTCCCGTTTTCCGGTCATTTCCAGAGCTAACTTGTGAGCAATCCCCGAGCAGGTACACGTAAAGGCCCATGCTACTTTTTGGAGAGCTTGTCGTTTTATCTTTGCTGTTGGAAGTCTTTGTTTTCCAGTCAGCTTTGTTTATGCAGCTGGAAAACTCAACGAGACCACTTGAAAAACCCCACCTCCTGAGACCCAGAAATATGCAGGAGACAGATTTCTTGGATTTTGAGTTGTCTCATTTGGCCAGAAAAAGAGCCTGCTGAAGCCATTCGTTTTATTTGGAACTTTAGGGTTTACTCTGTCTCGTCCTCTGGAGCTCTTTAAAGTCATTAGATTTCAAATTTTCTGAATGACTGACAGACTTTAAAAATACAACCAGCTGATGGCACGTTGTCTTAGATACAGCTAYTGTAGGCACTTATGCAGAAAAGGCTTTGGCTTAAATCTTTCAAAGCTTAAAGACACGATGAACCTAAACAGCAGCCACAAGCCGGGTTATAATAGAGGTCAGACAGCTTGCCTGAAACAGACAGATTTAGTGGAAGTGGGTGCTGTTTGTAAAACTGACAGATGCTCAAGTACATCCACAACACATTAACTGTCATACAGTCAAAGTCAAAGCCTTTGTATTCCTCAAAAAGTTACATAGCAACATTAGTCATACATTAGTCATTTTTACAACGTAAGTGATATCAAATCAAAACTCAACCAAGGCTGTGTGCTACACAAAAAGATACACTCTTTTTTTTTATCAAGTTTTTATCTTGTGTAAAATTTCCAAGAAATACAGCTGGTGTGGTGATCCTCTAACAGCATATATTTAGTCTTAGTCATAGCTGACAGTCATAATCAGAGACATACATGTCATAGTTTACGGTCTCTCTGTTCTTATGCAAATATTATTCAGTTCAAAAAATGGTTTCAGGAAATAAATAGAAGCTACACACTGTAAACCATAAAATAAAACTTAAAAAAGGGTAAACAAAGTAGTCAGCTAAATCTCCGAAAAACCACAAGTCATGTGGTTGACCCACGTTAGGTGGAACTGAACTAGCATAGACTCTCAGAAAAGAGAGTGGAAATATAACACTGAAGCTACTCTTAAAAGCAGTAGAAATAAAATAAAAATAGTAAAGGACAAGTAAAACAGTGGACAAGAATAAATATCAGGTATAAAGCAGAGTGGTGGAGCACCTTAAAGATAGAACTCCACATTCTGTCAAACATGTGGCTTTCGTAAAATTTCTGCTCAACCGCTAAGTTGACCATTTCCTCGTGTCTACTTTAACACTTTTACTTTTTACTCAACAAATCTGAGCATAAATACGCACCAGTACATCCAAATCATGGACTTCTTTATACCAAATAGCTCTTTCAAGAACGTTGCCATTGTTTTGAAAGATAAATAAATGCATGGTGTAGTTGGCATCTCTTTGCTCATCTCTTTGTTACACTTGTTACACAGATTTTTAGCTCACAATTTAACTATCAGTATAAGAAAAAACAATGTATTTGCTTTCTTACATAATATAATATAATATAATATAATATAATATAATATAATATAATATCCCCAGGGAACCATGTTTTTTTTAATATAAAAACAGATCTGTGTTTAATGGATGTGTTTGCCGGTGGAGTCTAATGTTGTTTTTCTGCAATGGATCATAAAAAATGAAAGGTTTCATCAAGTCATCAATGTATTAGAGGGTACTATGATAGAGGCAACCCATGGTTATAGTGTACTTGCAGATTTTATCATTTTTCTTTGTGTAATGATTTCCATGTTCTTCCCCTCTTTTTTGATTTTACATGTTTCTCTGGGATTGTTGAGATGTTCAGACGTCTGTAAATCATAGCAGCATCAGTCCCATCAATTCTCCTGAGAACCCCTAAAATATTCCGTCCTCAGAACCATTTGTGGGGTTTTGTC